CTTCTATCGATGTCGATGTCATGAACATGTGAGCTTGTTGAATCTGTTGCACCGTATCCCGGAGGAGTTAAGCCAAAGTGGATGCCATAAGAGATGCCCGAGAGGTGTCCCAGAGGCGTCCGAGGGGGGAGTTGAACCCACGGGGGGGGGGGGGGACCTACACATGAAGTTTTCACGTGATGCGGCGATCCCAAGGATTCCAGTCCCTCACTTGCTAAAGCAAGGACAACTCCAGCTAGCTGGTGCTAGCTTTCGTGACTAGTAAAGCCAAGGAGTGTTCGGGGCCGTGGGGGTCGAATGTTTTCGACCTCGGTACCCATGTTCGAAACCAGTTTGGCTCTTCCTCTCCCAAGTTCACCAGTCCACGAGTCCCTGGTGCCCACCATGTTTCAACACCCTTCGTCTTCGGACTTCGATCTCTCTCTCTTGGCGCTCGGCTCGACACGCGACGGCCGAGAACCCTCCCTTCGCGAACCGGCCGAGCTCCCCGACGGCCCAGCGCGCCGCCTTGGCCGCTTCAGCCCACAGCTCGCAGTCGTCGCCTGCGTTTCGAGCGCGGACGTGCGTCGTGGGCCGGCCGGTGCGCGGCAAAGGGGAGCGGTCAGAGAAGCGGTCAGAGGAGCGTGGTGGTGGAAGGAGAGGGATTTCAAATCCATGGTGTTTTGAGACCCCCAAACCTGGAAATGAACATGTTCCACACATGGTTGGTTCACATGGTTGGTCCACAAGCATATGGATGCACATGGTACAGTAGGAAGAATTGGCAAACAGCTTGGGAAAGGGTGGAAAGGGTGGAAGGAGATCGTTGCTCTGCTCTTCAAGTCTGGAAAAACTAGATAACAATGGTTCCAAAAGGCTCTTTCAAGAATCGTTTCAAGTCAGCTGAGTCATCAGTGGTTCTTCATGCCTCTTCCTTCAAAGTCTCCTTGCTTTGGATGATCCAGCTCTGGCAGTTCGGCTACCACAAAAACTGAACTGAATTTAGTCAAGTCCATAGTCCACGGCAGCCTGAGTGCTATACTAAATGATGTTGAACCATGTTGAACCCATCCATTCATATCCATTCACCCCTCCGTTCGCCGTGGCGCCGTTCTGCCAAGAAACGGGTTTCCAGGGTGAGGAGCCAGGAAGCGCCACCCGGCAAGCCGGTTTCTTCTGCCACCTCCAAAGGCTCAGCCGGTTTCGATCGAGCACAGCACGGACCGAGACGCGTTTTTGGCGATGAGCAGAGTGATTGATTGGTCCTTTAGGACCGGTGGAGAGGAGTTTGTGGAGTCTCTTTGCGCCTGAAAAAGGCCACGGATGCTGTGAAGGATCATGAAGGGCGTAGCGTAGTGGCCACACCCAGCTTGGAGTTCTGTTCGAGTCACTGGATTCGCGTCCCCGAAGACAAATCCCTCCTTGTCTCGCAGAAAAACCGCGAAGTATGACGATTCGCACAGATCGCCTCGTAAATGCAAAGCGACCAGCCGTTGCCATACTTGCACTGCGTCACCTCTCCAACCTTCACAAACATGACACAAAAAGGATGGTGAATGTACAAGCGCTTGGGGAGGAGTTGACCAGCGGGTGGTCACCCAGCCAATTCGGGGTCGGAACATCAGAACATCAGTCAGACCGTCAGACCCTACAAAATCCTTGACTTCGACCCACTTCCAAATCCATGAGCATCATCCGCGTCATCGTCTTCGTTCGGTTCTCTCGTTCGCTTCTTCCTTCTGCTTCCGCCCCCCCGGACGAGCTTAGCGAACGACCGCCGTAAAAGCCGACCGCAAACGTCGCCTCGCAATGGAGAAGTGGAAGACTGGCCACCGGCTCGGACGAGTCCAACGGGTCGTTGAAGGCGTACAGCACCTCTCGCGGAACGGCGATGTCCGGAGGTGGTGTTGGGGAAGAGAAGGCCAAACCCTCCTGGATCTTCGGCCAGTGTTGGTGTTGCGCGGCAAAAGTGGAAGGTACACCTACTTCGCTGCGCCTCAAACTTCAGGTAGCTGTCTCTGGGAGGCTTCAGCAGTGAAGCCTTAAGAGCAAATCAGTCGGGTGCCGAAAAAATCCTGGTCCTGTCCAGCAGTCGGACTGTCAAGTCGGCCATCTGAGCACCCTGCTGAATTTAAGACTTGGGATTCTCCGGAAGGCGCGGAAATCACCCTGGACGCAACACACGTGACATCGGCCATATATGAATGATCATCGCATGCAATCCACGGATCGGATCCAACAGAAAACAGGTCCAAGACATGTTTGAAGGGAATTCACTTGTCTTATAACTCTGGATGAAAGGCATAGTGACATAGTAGGTCCAAGTGTAGAAGATTGTAGAAGAATGAAGAGGACAGGATAACTCCAATGATTCTGCATGTTGATTTTCGCATGTTCTGAACTCAATGGCAAATCTGAACTCCACCGTCCGAAGGGTGCCTGGAGCTGAGAAGAAGCAGCCAAAATTCGGTTCCAACCTTATCGTACGTGCTCCTCGCGGAACTGGGTTCTTCATGGATTCAATGGTGGTTTTGGGTGGTTGTTGTTTCTTTTCGTGGCTGTGCTCGCGCTCTGGTGGTGGGTTGGGACTGGAGCCCAAATTTCTCATGGCTCCTCTTTTGCCAGACATACACTTCGGTGTTCACGCGGCATGTGGCTGTTCACGGCGGTTTTCTTGCCATGACATCCCAAAACCAAGAGCCAAGCACCAGCGTCACAAGGCAGGCAACCTCCAGTTTCGACTTCACAGCCTCAGAAATCGGAACTGCCAACTGCGACGTTGAGATACGACGGTCGGACGTCTCGTCCGTGCACCCCCGAGGCCACCAGTCGGGGCACCACCCTCACCAGCATCTGATGGGTAGCGACGAAAACTTTCACATACATCCTCCCCGTCGCAAGGATGCTGGCTGGATTCAGTAGTTGCTTGCGGCTAGCCGCTTGGGCCGCTTGGGTGCTTCAAGTTTGATGTCCTCTTTGCGGCTCCGTCTCCAAATGAAGCAAAATCGCTCGCGTTTCACGTCCACTTCCACCGGTGGATACTTTAGGCAAAGAAAAGACCTAAAATGGGACCAATGCCATCTGCCAATAGACCAGAAACTTGTGCAAAACCTCCTTTTCTCCTCACCCCGAACCCAAAATCATTCCACACCGTGCTCTGAAAACCCTCCCCCCCACCCGTTTGAGCTCGCCGTCCTCCCGTGCCGTCGATCCTCGCGGTCCTCCCGTCCTCCTCTCGGCCTTCCCGACGGCTTCTCAGCAGGCTGTCGCGGACCTTCCGGCCCGCCACCACCAGGCGGCCCTGCGCAAGCCGAGTCGGCGATGTTCGTCCAGACACAAACTGAGCAGAGATGTGTGTTTTTAATGGGTTTTTCCTTCTAGATGGGAACTTGCTTTGGCATTTCTCATCTCTTCATCTTGCCAGCTCCTACGTGCTGCTGTAGTCTTACTGTAGCCAGCGATCCGTGGTGACTAAGCCCTTATGCCAAAAAAAGACAGTGATGCTCGTCCCAACAGCCTGGATCAAAGCCTCAAAAGAAAGCTGGATCAAAGCCTACTTCTTTATACTTCAAAAGCCTACTTCTCCAGGTCAGCATCTGTTGCACACAACCCATGGAGGGCGCTACTCGCTACTCTTCACTCCTGCCGTGGAGGATGCCGTGCACCGGACAGTCGCAGGAGCGCAGCACCACAGCCTCAGGACATGAGGTCCGGGGGCGCTCGCTCCACCGGCTCCCGCCATGAAGCAAAAGGAATGAAACCAATAGTCAACTCGTGGGACGATCCAAATATCCCTAGTAGGTTGACCGGTTTGACCGGCATACTAGTCTATTCTGTTCATGTTCCGTGGTCAACCAGGGTCCCCCGGTGCCATGATCCACAGGCTGTTCCTTCTTGTGTTGTTGAAATCTTCCAGCTATCAAAGCTCTATCTGCTGGAAAATGACGGAGAGACCGCTCCTCTGGAAACGCGAACGAAGATCGTACAGTCATCCATGAAACTTGAAAGCCACTGGTTTCTATCTTGAACAAACTGGCTCCCACCTTGAACAAGTGGTGTTCGATCAAAGGTCCAAAATGTGATGATGAAATCCCTGCGAAAGAGCCCCAGGCGGGTGTACCGCAGGGCGGCTGCTTCGACAGAAACTCTATCAGCCTCCTGCGCCAAAAACTCGTCGTCTGTTTCTTCATGTTGCTTCGGAGTGTCGCTGTTCGGCAGCTCAGCTGCTGAGTGTTCGGCGTTTGAAACGCTCACAGGCAGCTCACTCGTTTGCCCAAATCAAACACTCGACAAAGCGTCTCGACAACATGCTCACTCGATGTCTCGACACACACACGACGCACGCGTCGGCTCTTCTCGGCCCATCACTCCTCCGAGTGTCCACCGGGTGTGGCTGCCTTAGTTTTTCCCATACCGTCGTCTCTTTATAATACACAAGAGAAAAGAGAGAGAGAGAGAGACTATTAGAGATTGTTAGCGGAATAGTTGGTATTAGCAGGTCTAGTAAGGTTTAGTGACTGGAATTTGGGGCACCAGCTCTCTTCTGAGGATGGCACACTCATCGAATCGCTCACGGCATTCTTCAAAGTTTGCCACATGCCCTTGGCTTGCAGCCAATGTTCTGGAGTCACCTGCCAGTGCTGCAATCGGTTGGAAGTTCCCTGCGTTCCTGCGTTCATATATGTTCGTGTGATCTGGAGCCCTCCTCGTTAAGTCCAAAAACAAACAATAGCCATCAAATGCAACGGATCCGCAGTTGACGCCCGCGTTGCGGATCTCCGCCCGGTGGGTGATCTATTTGGAGATCAATGGCCCTCTGCATATCTGACATGCAGTGCGGAAACCACCTGAACCAGCTCAATTGGGAGCCGCCGCACCGAGCCTATCTGCTCTGAAACTACTGGGTCAAAACCAAAAAAACGGATGTCAGGTGATAGGCAGATGAAAGTTTGGTCGGGAGCCATTCTGTCATGCGTGTGCTGTGTGTCTTCTCCGGCGAGCCCTGCAGTGTCCACTCATTTTTCCATTCTCCAGAGCTTTCTTGTTGTTGCCAGGCCAGCGCATCAAACCTGGGCACGAGCAAATCTGAGGGTTCTTGCACAAAAATGACTTGTTGCTCCCTTCAACCCTTCCTTCCATGTTCTGAAAGACGCCAAAAGCCTTTTGGAGACACTGCCACACTCCCCCACGCCAGCGCATGCTGCGCTCCGCGCTCCCCGGGCTCGTCGAAGCACGCGTCTCGTGTCGAAAGCAAGACACTTCTTCGTTCAGGTCGATCATCCGAAGAGGTCGAATTCCATCTCTTCCTCCTCCTCTTCCTCGACCACCTAGCATGTGTGAAGCAGCTAGCAGCTAGTCACTAGCTGCATCCACTAGTCACTAGCTTGCGCAAGGTTCCATTCCAAGGTGCGTAATTGCTCATGCTCTAAATCAATTAGCTGAAGAGGTTGAAATAAATTGGACAGATCCATTTTCACACCTTCTCCAGGTCATCAAGAGGTCCATCCTTCATTTAAAGAGGTTGTTACATGTTTCAATCGATGACCTCTGTCCCATTTTTCTCGGGGCACCACTGGCCTCGCACGGGTGAGGCCCGTCATGGTTTTCTCCACCCCGTCGTGCCCGTGTTGCCACGCCCGTTCGCGTGCGTTGGGCGCCCATGGTCACGACTCCATGGCGCCCTACGATGGTCCGCCCAGCTCTTTTAGATTAAAGAGCACATCGTTTTCTTCCCGGTTCGGACAACTAGCTTGAAACTCCGTCTTCCAGCCCACACCGGTTTTTTGGGGTGTCAAGGCTTCAATCAAATATGATCAAAAGATATCAAAAGGGCAAGCACTTGGGCGGAGGATCTAGTTCCCTTTGCGGACTCGCCGCCCAGCCTTTTTCTCTTCCTTCTTCTCGGCAGGAGCACCGCCTCCGCCGCCTCCACCGCCGCCGCCTCCTGCCACGGCCACGCCGCCACCGCCGCCACCGCCGAACTTCAGCATGCTGTCCTCAGCCAGCTCTCAAGCCACCGCTACAAGCGGATCTGGTGGCAGGTGCGGTCGCCCAAGGCGCAACGCCAAGCGCGGCGGGGGGGGGGAGGGCGAAGGAGGTCCCTTTCTTGGAAGACCAGCAGTTGTCGGACCTCTTCAGGTACCACCAGGGCAGGGTGCCAGGTGGACCCTGGGGCCTCACTTCGGACGACTTAGACATATCGAACGCCCCAGGCCCTCGGCCCCCTGCTTTGGCCAAGGAACAAGATCCTTTCCCGCACAAAGCTTGGCGAAAAGAGCTGGGAAAAAGGAGCTAGTGGAGCCACCAGCAGCCTGTCGAAAGGCAATGTCGTGGCAGAACTTTGGGGGTAGACTATGTCAAAATGCTGGCTCCACCGAGCATTTCTTTGTGTGTATCTCGAGGGGAGCATCTTTTTGCTGAAACTGCGCAGCTTCTAGTGCGGCACGCAGGCCCAACATGTGTGTTCAACGATGTTGAACTGCCAAACCTCTTGTACGTGGTAAAGGGTTGAGCCTTTGGTGCATATTTACCTTGGAATGGTGGCTCAAGGAATATGTTTAACCCCCCTTGCCTTGATGAGAGTGTTGATGTTGTCTTCTGAAATGTCCAGCTCGCTGTCCTTCCAAAGATTGGGTCAAATGAGAGATATGTTACAAGCATGCTGGGGCATCAAATGTTCAGGGTTCTTTGCTGGAAGAAAAGAACATGCTCTCCGCTGTCTTTACCCTTGCTTGTGTTCAGAGACACAGCTCCTTCACACCAAGGAGACATCCGTCCTTGAGGATCATCGCGGCATAGGTGCAGAACAGCTCCTCCTTCTCGGCCTCGTATAGCTTCTTGAAGACCAACATGTTCATCGGTGGTGTCCCAGGTTTGTTGGATTGCATGCTCCAAATGGTGGAACCTTCGTAGAATTTCTCTGTTGCATGGCAGTCGCATGTTGGGCTTCTAGTTCTTTGCTCCGCTCGCAAAAAGGAACGATCCCCTCCTCTCCCAAAAGAAGAGTTCGCAATGAGTTGCCACCGCTGTCGGTCCGTCCTCATCCGGAAAGTGGACACTTCTCCCCTGGCCTGTGGCACCTCATCCGCTGGCACCTCCGCCATGCCGGGAGGGGTCCAGTTTGCGCGACTTCGCCCGGAAGAGCTCTGCTTCTCCGCTGGTGGAGCCGAAGACCGGTGCCCGGCGAGCGGAGATGGTGGATGAGGTCCACGAGGAGGTCCCAAGTTCGTGAAGTTGTCTCACACAGCTTTTTGGTCCCAAAGCAATGGGTAATTAGAGTTCTGAACTGCTTGTGAAACCGCATGGAAGACCGCTTGGGAAAGATGAAATCCAAGTCAGGGCGCACCCATGAGGGAGCAATGCTCACTTTTACTTTTGTGGTCTGTGCAAACGCTGCCAAGCCAAGATTGAAAACCCAAAGACTAAGGACCGGCCAAGCCTGGTCATCACTTGAAGCTAGACGATGTCTCAAAGCTGCTGCGTTCAGGCCTTAGTTACAGTTGAAGGTGTGGCAATTCCATTGGCAAACATCCCCATCTTCATGGCTCTCCCTCTCCCTCTTCCCGGGTCTTCCCTTCTCTCTCTCTCTCTCTCTCTCTCTCTCTCCTCTAAAGTGAGGGGACTCAAGTTTCTCTGTGGGTCATGGCACCAGGATACCTTGGTCGACCTTTTTGGAAGATCTAGAAGGTCGCTCGCTCCGCGGACCAGCGCTCCAAGTCTTGACCCAGGTCCTTCTCTTCATGGCCCTCGCTCAAGAATACCTCTGCTTCCCTCGTGCTACGTGCTCATAGCCGGCGAGGCGCTGCAAATCCAAAGGTCGCGTTGCTCGCTGGTTTCGGTCTCCAGCTCCTGACTCATGTCCGGAGATGAGCCGATTGCCAAGTTCTGAAGAGAAGACCCAAACTAGAAGGATGGAACCGAACTGAGGGAACATGAGTACTGCCCATCCCTGGATGTTTTCCCTGCGGAGCAAACGGTTTTTCCTTGCAACACATCCCTATGTCTGCACAATATAGCATAAAATCTCCAGTTCCGACCCCTCCTCATCGTATCTGGCTTCCGGAGCCTTGCCCAGGGGGGTCCACAGATCCACACACTGAGGTTGAAAGATGTTGGAAGACAGCCACCCCCTTGTTCAGGTGTTTCTCCCCAGAGTCCAATGCACGTCCCAAACGAGTGGCGCCAGCAAGGCAAAGGCAGGCACCCCGGAATGGGAGTTGTAAGTTTCTCGTGGCAGAACACATCCACGCTAAGAGCCGAGCTCGCAATACAAAGCGGCAGGGCCCGCAGCAAGCGGCCACCTCAGATCTCCGAAAAGCGTTGGCAGTTGGCAGATCCTGCCGTGATGCTTTGCAGATGGGCCTAAACAGATCAGCCAAGGCCCGAGAAAGCTAAGCTCCCGTCGTGACAACCAGACAGGCTGATTTCGCCTCGTGGCTTCTGATTCTCTTCTGCCAGTCGCTGCTTCTTCCAATAACCTCGCTAGCGCGACCAGGCGCCCAAAACGTTCCGTGAAGATCCGGTGAACCCGGTGCCGTCCGAAAAAACAAACGAAGGGAGGAGAAACTCTTGGTATGCCCACACCACAAGCATTGCTTCCAGTGTCTTCCAAAAACATCACTAATAATATACATCTCCTCACTCGCCAAGTAGCGGAGGATGCCGCTCTTCCCTTCAAATTGAAAGTAGCGCCATTTCCACAGCCCAATGTGATGGCCTCAGCCAGCACCAGCGCAGCCGCACCCAGCCGCGGGGGAAAAGAATTTGCAGCCCAACTGGGCATCCCGGGCTTTTCTTTCGCAACCATCCATCAAGGTTGCCACATGACTCAGACATTTCAGCATTGCCGGGTGCAATGTTGTATTGTTTTTGAATGTGGCTGAGATGGTTCAAGTCGCAGACCAAGCGAAATCATCGAAAAATGCTGAGATCTGCTGATCTGGCATCTTGTGGCATCCCGCGAACAAAGAACGAACCCGCGAGAATCGGTTTTCTACGTTAGTCCGTGAGACACGTGTGGATCTTTCTGGGTGTTCTGATTCAATTTCTTTTGGATGGTCTTCGGATTCAACTATCATTATACAACATTTGCAGTTTGTTCTTCTTCGATCATGAAGCCTACGCTCAAACCCGCAAAAAAAGGTTTGTGCAAGTCTATCATGGTAGGGCAGCCACTGTGATTAGTCCCCCTCTCCTTTACGCCCACACCGCTGTGATCGGGTTTTGCGGGTTTGCGTCTGTACTTGGACCGAACAAATGGATGTTCGCCGGCGATTGCTTTGTGGCACATCATTGCACAAGCTCAATGCATGCTATGTGCACGTTCTTTCATGTTAAAGAGTCAGAGTTCAGACCTGATTTCAGTCATGCTGCCTTTTTCTTCGCATTCCACCTGTTTGGCATGTTACCAAATGGGCATTCGGCTCACGGCTCACGCGTTCGTGTCCCATCTCCGCCAGCAGTTGGAGCAGTACCTTGCCATTGTTCGTGGCCGTTCTTGGAACCGGCCACTGCGGACCGAGCTTCGGTTTGGCAAAAAGGGAAGTTAACCAAAAGAAGAACCAACATGAATGAACTAACCCTTTTCCGCCAGGCTATCATGACATGATGACAATGATGACTGATGTCCGATCTTCAACTCTTCCCACTCTGATCCTGTTCCTTTTCTTTTGCCGTGGTCTATACCAACACCAGAGCCCACACCACCAAGCCCCTCGAGTTTCAGGCCATTGCCCTCGGGCGCTCCAGCCGTCCAAACGCTGGCGCCGGCACCTGCGTGTGTATGTGTGTCAACCGGTGTGTGTGTGTGTGTGTGTGTGTCAGTGAAAGGCAGGTCATTTATATAGAAAATGGGTTCCCCAACTCTTGTGTAGTCTTTTTCTTTCAGGTTTGGTGTCCCTCGCAACCGAACAGACTGGTCTTTCTGTTTGGGGAATTCGAAGCACGGCTCTTCGTGGGCACTGGGCTCCGGCGGAAACAGGCTTACGAGTCCTGCTGTGGGGGTTAGTTCGTTCCGTTCAACGTCCAGCTCAAGCATCGCGAAAAGACGAGTCACAAGTTGAGGGATGTTCACTTGGTGGGCACACGCTACACATCCTCCCTCAACAATCGTGTTCCATGTTGCTGCATGCTTAGCTACCTCCTCGAGGACTCAAGGACCTCCAAGTGTTTAAGAAAAAGGAGCTTGTAGCATCCACACACATCCTCCAGCACCCTTGGGCTCCAAAGTCATGCTTTCCAGATCGAGACTGCGTCTCTTGGGCTCCACGGCGCTGCGTCAACACCCGCGAAGCGTCGCCTCGACGCCTCCCCCATCCCACCGGGCCAAACCCAGTCGGGGAGCCGCGCTGAGCGCAGCGATAGAAGACATCGTCCTTGAGTGCCAAGGTGGGAGACCAACCTGGAAAAACACCAAAAAGTTCAGCGGTTCTTCCATGTGTGTGTGTGTGTGTGTTCCACTCTTTGTTGTCTGTTTTTCTGGGTGATTCGTTCGCTTCTTTCGTGCTTTTCCTCTTGTTTCGCGTGGAGTTGACAGGTGGTCGGTCGTCTTGAGGTGCTCGATGTCCCCGACGCGGTGCGCCCCGAGGACGCTCGTACCGTGAGAAACCGGGACGCACGACGCTCACGTGGAAAACGGGTGCGTCGATCGACTCGGGCCTGGATCGAAGGGCTTTGGGGCGTCGGCAAAGACCTCCAACACCGGCCTGCTCGACAAAGGGGGTGAAGCGATGAAGCGTTTCTTTTGGTTTTCGGAAAAACCGGTGGAAAAATCCGATGATCGGTTCACCCTTTTGAGTCTCCTTTGGAACCCCCCCAAAAAGAGGGGATGCTTCGAGAAAACCCTCAGGAAACGCTCAGGAAACGAAGTTCTGCGCCTGAACTCTGCTTGGAAACCGCCTGGTCCATTGGCAAGCAAGCAGGCAAGCAATCAAGATTTGTGTTATGCACCGCTTCGACCGCCTTCCTCTCCAGCATCACCTGACGCAAAGATCAGCGCGCGCCAAAAAAAATGGAGTGAACCATGTGACCGTGTTGCCTTCTTCAGTCGCTGTAGATTGCTCATTAGGAATGATTGGCGCAAACAAATGAGCAAGGCTCCAAATAAAAATTACACGGACTCTCCAGCCGGCTGGAGATGACATCACCCGGAATCACATTGGGAATCAATTCATGACAGTCAGCACTACACAGACCGACCCATCGCGTCTCATATGGATTCCTCCGCTTCCTCCGCTTTTTTCCGGTGGGCGCGCCCACCGGCTGGCTGCCCGCTCACGTGAGGTCTCTACTGGGCCGAGCTCAGGATCTTTTCCACCTGCAACACGGCCGAAACGCAAATGTATGGCGCCCCAAAAAGGAAAAATGGGCCCAAGATGGCCCAAGACGTTCAAAAGGGAAACAAAGAAGGTATGAAAACGTGGAAAAGATCTTTCCATGTGAAATGGCTCTTGGTGACTTGCTTAGACCAACCAACTCCCTGATTCGGAGATGGCTGTGGGTCGTTCAATCCGGAGCCCGGAACTCACGGTAGGTTGACCTGCCTAGTCGTCTATTCTGTCCATGTTCGGTTGGCAAAAGCAGGGTTCCCCCAGTGCCGTGATCCACAATTTGGCAGAGGAGTCCGCCTGAAAATCTAGGAACCAAATGATTAGTGCCAGCAAGGAAGCACGAGCTATCCCGCGTCAAGTGTCCAGTGTCGCGTCCAGTACCTTACCAAATTAAGTAGACATGCAATCTCTATACTTAAGTAAGGAGGCAGAGCAGGGCCATGGCGGCCACGAGCTGAGTTCCATTGTGTCTTTAACTTGCGACTGGCACCTCGGTCCTGTGACGTTGCTCTGCATGGTCCAAAGGAGTCATCCCATCGTTGTCCTCGGTGTTGGCGTCGGCGCCAGCAGCGAGCAGCAACTTCACCATTTCCACACAATCATCTCGGGCTGCATAAATCAATGGAGCCCTGGTTTCGGTGGCTGACAGAGGTTGTTTGATTTTTTCGCAGCAAATCATCTGTCTTCTTCCAGATATGACTGGTTTGTGAGTTTCCGGCATGGAAAGCAGCTATCAGATATATATATATATAGATAGATAGATAGATATGTTAACCAAAATTCCAATTTGAGATATCACTGTAAGATGGATTTTGAGCTTCAATAGCTTCAATTGAGGTCTCAAGTCAGCCATATCTTCTGGCCTTGTGTTCAAAGTTCCAGTACTGAAGTTGCGAGGGGACGTGCAATCCGGGAGGATTTTGAACGGGACACTCAGGGACACTCAAGGACAGTCAAGCCACCAAGTTCGAGGCAGCCACTCAAAGACACTCAAGGATGTCCGTGAGTGTCCTTGAGTGTCTAGTCTATATTTTGGATAACCTTGAGTGTCCTTGAGCGTCCTTGAGTGTCTGGTCTTGTTGGATAACTTTGAATGTCCTTGAGTGTCCTTGGGTGTCTGGTTTTTTTTGAATGACGTTGAGTGTCCTGAAGTGTCCTTGAGTGTCTGGTCTATTTCTTGGATGATCTTGAGCGTCCTTGAGCGTCGTCTAGTTTTTCTTTTAGATGACCCTGAGCGTCCTTGAGTGTCTTGGGTGTTTGCTTGTGTCCTGGCTCAGACTTGTTTAAGCGTCTTCAAGTCTCCGTGTGTTCTGAGTCACTATTTTTGAAGTTTCCCTGGCTGTCCTTTAGTGTCTATAGTCTACACTTTTATGTTTCTGGCGTCCCTGTTTCTGGCGTCCCTATAGCTGTGAGGGTAGTGCACGGAAAGGGCTTAGTAGAACCCTACTCCACTAACTTTGTGGAACCCTTGCCTATTCGTGGAACCCTTGCCTATTCACATAGCATTCGTGGAATTCTGATTCCTTAGGTGTACAAACTCCAACAAAAACTGGGGAACCTTCGCAGGACTTAGTGGCATTGTGGGGAGGGCAATGGTATCCCTTTTGAGATTTGCGAAGCATTGATCGAGACCATCGCTGCTGGATATGTCGTGGCTCATGCACGGATCCGGATATAAGGTAGAGAAAGTTCATAGAAACTTAAGGACATGCTCCATTGAGGACAAGTGAATGAAACCTGAAAGTTTTGGCACAACACCCTAACTCTTGAAGTGTCAGCAGTGCGATTGTAGCTGTTCCTGGGCCAGGAGCAGACGCAGTCTGGGAGCCAAGTGCAAGGAGGGCTGGCGTTCGTTGGTTGAGTGCCGGTCACACATGCAGTGATAGCAAGAAGACCAATCACAGCAAAATCGCCAATAGAAAATGGCCTTGTGAGCTTGTGGTTCTTTCGCATGGGCCCGATGTTACAGACATTGCCTATCCAAACAGCACACCTAACCTGGATACATGCTTGCCTACAGAGATAGCAAGAAAATGCATCAAGTCGAAATAAGAGATGCCTTGGGTCCCACGCAACCCCGAAAATGGCCCTGTAAGGTTGTGGTTCTTTTCGTGGTGTTCTGCAAGTGTTCCTCCTGGGGCCGTTTTCGATCCAACACCAGACCTCACTGTAAGGTTAATTTACAGACGCTGGGTACCCAAACAGCAAACAACCAATACAATACACATCCACTTGCCTGGGTATGGATGCGCTGTTGCTGTCGGAGGAATCACTGGACCTATTGCATGCGCAACAGTGAGGTAACAGGAGTAAAAAATGGGACGTCTACCTCGAAGCGTGGAGAAACCAACCTTGATTCATCCCATTTTCTGTTTTGTTGGTCACACATTGCAAAAGGCGTGCTCTGACCCACTCCTTACACTCTACCTGAGGATATTTGGCTCGCGCAAACAGCCATCGGAAAGGTTGTAGCAAGGGCTCGCCTCGTGGCGGCGCATGGCTTGGGTGAGCAGAGAATCCGAAGCATGGGAAAAGCAACGCGAGAGCAACATAGAAGACAGACTAAGCTATACAACTCCTCACTTATGGGAGCTCCCCAACTTAGAATGACTTTCCGAGCCTTGGGAGATACCTGCTCAAGCCCGCACAGGCTGTGCACAATGGATTCCAGCCCGACGCTACAGATGTTCCAGGAACCTATCAAACGCAAACGCCCCAACTTCCAACAGCAGCCCAAGCGATTCCCCCGAAAGCCGCGGGCAGATGGCAGAAAGCCGAATACCCCAAAAGATTTGTTACTGTCACAAAGAAGACCCAAAATGAGCAAGAAGGTGAAGCGCCTCAACCGTAACGCCCCAGCCACCTTTGCCAATGTCGACTCTGTAGATCGAGGAAGGCAATCGCCAAAAGGCTGAGCAGGCGCGCGACTTACCAAGGAAATCTTCGCTACGTCATCTCCATCTTCAAGCGTAGAAATGTAGCCATGGCAGATGTTCTTCCACTGCAGCGGGCGCAGAACGACTTTACCGTGACAGCGACCCGAGCAGACGCGCAAACCTGTTGCCAGAAGGACTTGCATGATATTGGAAAGACATGTGTCCAGCTCCAAAAACGCAATCTCAGAAAAGGTCGACTTCTTTTCCGGGTCATCCCTCCTCACTTAGATGGGCATGCTGCTGGTGAGCAGAGTTTGCCAAGTCTACTTGGGCCCCCTGCAGTCAAGTGACCCTTTGCCTGATCGCAAGACAGATGTTCATTGTCTCTTTCATGGTTCAGCCGGAGGGGTGGTAATGACAACGACATGAGTGAGTGGTTTTCGATGCAGAACACTTGGATGATGGAGGAGTTAAGCGGCGAAAGTTATATAGCTAAGTGTTATCCCATCCGTCAAACCGTCACGTGCCATCTTTTTGGGTGGGGCAGTCTCCAGACCCGATCATGGTATTCGTTTCGGCTACCCAAAGGTGGCTGGGTGCACACAGAAGGCCACCCTGCTCAACGTCATTGCATTTGAGCACCATTTCAGCAAGGCTGCGCAAGAATGTCCCCGAAGAGCGCCGAGCACAAGGCACAGGAAAGCCGCGGGTGGGTTGCCCCCATTGCACCAATGTATGGCGCTTTTGTCAACTAGCCAGCCACGTATGCATCAAACAATTTGGGCTTGCTTCCGATGGTTCCTCTGACTGCGTTCTTGTTGTTTGCCTCGTTGTTCACCTTTTGTTTTGGGGCCCCCTTCGCCCAGGAATACCATTGCCCTCCCCACAAACGAGGGTTTGTGTGTGTGTGTGCGGAACTAGGGTGAGCACAAAAATTCCTTATAAAGCTAGTGCATCATCAAAAAGACCCTTGCCACTAAGTCCTGCGAAGGTTTCCCGGTTTTTGTTGGAGTTTGTACTCCTAAGGATCCAGAGTTCCACGAATGCTATATGAAAACTAAACTAGACGAAACCCAAGGACGCTCAAGGACACTCAAGATCATCCAAGAAATAGACCAGACACTCGAGGACACTTCAGGACACTCATTGCATCCAAAAAGACCAGACACTCAAAAACACTCACGGTTATCCAAAAAGACCAGACACTCAAGGACACTCAATGTTATCCAAAATACAGACCAAACACTCAAGGACACTCAACGACACTCAAGGACATAACCCTTGAGTGTCTTTGAGTGTCCTTGAGTGTCTGATTCAACTAGTGCACGTCTGGCGACCCCAATGCAGGGGTTTTCCATATCAATCGCTAGAAGATGACAAAGCCCCAAGCTACCTAGAACGGTAAGGCAGCAGGAACACCACCAGGACACCACGGAAACACACCAAATATCACAAGATATCTTGCCAATCCACATGTCTGTGGGCGGTATCGAGTCCCAACGTCATGTCGACTCAATGGTCATAAAAATCCCACCTGGGAGCTAATTGCCTATGCTCAATTGCCGTCCGTGCCTTCCAAACGTGGTGTCCTTGAGATTTGGATCTCCTTTGGCCTCCAAGAGAAGCTTGGTGATCTCTGTACTTTTCTCCGTCTTCGTAAAGCACCTGCCGCCTGCTTGATACAGCGGGGTCTGCCCAGAGTAAGCCCGGGAATTCACATCAGCTTTGAGAGAGATAAGAGTCTTCACCATCTCCACATTGCCTTGGCGAGACATGCACAGAAACCCGTAGAAACTCCAAGATCTTTCAACATGCTTCAACACTTCTGAAGGGTGATTTCCACACTTCAGATCACTTCAGCCATCTTTCCCTCAAACAATTCTGTTTAAAAAACCCTCAACTCTGCCTTGATCGGCCGCCAAGTCCAAGGCTGAGTGGTCATCCCGCCACTTTTGTTTCAAGTCTATATCCGCGCCCAGAGAGATTAGCAAGCGGATCTTCTGCACATCCTCGTTCTCGACGGCGCTGAACCACTCCTTGAACATCTTCTCCTCATCTGGGGTGTACACTTTCATCATCATCTCGATCTTCTCCTGGACGTTGCGATGCGAAAACGGAGGACGTCAGAATCGATCATGAGCCTTCACTCGCTTAGGAAAAAATAGGATGAAGCAGAAATTCCGGGATCCGGGGTGGAACATGGATGAATACAATTGAATACACGCAATCCATTTTGCTCCTCAAGCTTTTGCACCTTCTCTTGACATTCATCGGCTGCGGTGCCGCTCCGAAAGCTGTCGGCAGGGCAAACGATGGACGCCAGTGCAGCGAGCGCCAGTGCAGCGAGCGCCATGCGTGCGAATCGGTCTGGATTTCCCAAAGATGTTGCGTCTGCTTCAGCTGACGAACCGAGGCCAAACAACTGAACATGTGTTTCGCTCATGAATTGAAGCAACCAGTGGGCAACCTACAGCCCACCAAAAAAAACACGGCCGGGATGCTATGCCCTTTGCATGGGCTGCAAACAGCAACAACAACGCTCTTGATGTCTATGTTGTATATCTCTTGGAAGCTCTACAAGTAGAAGGGGTCTTATGATCGATCGTTAGGTTTGTGATCGATGCAAACAACGCAGTGTGACCGCACCGCACCGTACTTCGTCGCACATCGACACTCGCAGGACTTCGCACGTTGATGTGACGCAATGTGACGTTCTTTTGGAGGAGACTCTGCGTTGACCCGAGTAGCGTGCTTCCATGCTGCCCAAATAGGACCCAAGAAAACGCCTGAATCTATCCCGCCCCAAATCCTTCTCCACCAACCCCCCCACCACCCACGGTACCAGTACCACCCACGTCTCCTCGTCTCGGCCCCGGCCATGCGCCTGTCTTTGGCCGAAAGGGGCGGATCTGCAAGTCGCGCGGCAGCATCCCATGGTCCCACCTGGGCGGCTCGGCTAGCCGCGCTGCGAGGAAGTCGGGGGGAAGGACTGGGGAAGGACGGGGGTGGGTGGAGCGCTTTAGAATGCTTTAGAGGAGCGTTTTAGCTGAGGTCTGCATGTGATCGTGTGTGCACGGTTTTGCAGCATGGTGTGTGCGCGGAAAACCAAGCGGTCGACCATTGCTGCATTTGCCAATTGCTGTAGGGCCCTCGGCCTCATCATAGGAAAAAATACGGCGGAAGCCAAGGCTTGCTGAAGGAAAAGGATCGTCAAGTGAAAAAAAACAATCAGCTTGCGACTGGTGAAAACCCTACTTGAAACATGGATGATGACTCTGCATCCAATTGACTAACAGGTCTAAGGCCCACGCACAGCTTGCGTGGGTCCAAATACTCCCAGCAGCCGCAATCTGCAAGTGCTATGGTCAATTGACCGAAAACACAAAATATAAACAACTACATGACATGACTTATTCTTTGCATGATAAGCTCTATTACAGTTATATAAGTTATATACATAATCATACATAATCATACCATATTCGGTCCTGGAAATCGCTTGCTTCTCAAAGCTGCCATCTGAGATAACCCAAACTTCATCTTCAAAACCTGCTCAGCTCTAAGACCCAAGCTTCCCGCATCGGCAGCCTGTTCTTGTTCGGCTGGCCCTGAAGCTTGTCGCTCCGAAGAACGTCGACCGTCGTTGTTCACTTTCACTCGCCTCGCATCTTTGAGGCGCGGCCCAGGTCTCTGGTTTGTTTTGGGGGGGTAAGAAGATGTAAGAAGCAGTCAGGAGTCGAAGCCAAGTAACATTTTGATGGGTATTTTGTTGGGCCAGATCGCGCCCAAGTCGAAAGCACATCGAAAGCACAGCTCTCGAAAGCACATCGAGATGTGCCTTCGATCTCTCATTTGGACCTTTCTTATAAAATCTTATAAAGATCATTAAAGATCCGTGTTCACGGATCTCTGCCTGATCACGTTCAAGAAGCCCACATGGACTGTTTACTTGACTTGACATGAAGCCCAAGGTCGTGGGAGCCATCCTGGTCTCGTCCCGGTCTTCCCTGCCTTCTTCCAGCTTTGAAACAGCCGACCTGCACGTGACATGCACCGACGGTCCGGGCGTTCGTGATCCACGTCACGCACATGCACACGTGATTCACACGTGATCCACACGTGATCCACACGCGATCTGCACCTCCAGTCCCAGACACGCAGCACGTCAAAGTGCTTGGTGTTGTCGCGGCCCGTGCCATTCCTGTCGATGAATGGTGGAAGTTCATGGAAGGAGCGCAGGAACGAAGAGGATGGTTTGGTGTTTTTAACTTCACCGAAGCCGCAGAACGCACCCGGCAGAACGCGAAGCAGAACGCGAAGCAGGCTTCATCAAATCCACGTGCCGACACAGCTCAGGCTCAGGTGCGAGCCATTCCGAGACAAAGATCGAAAGGCCATTGGTGCCTCGAAGGCTTCGCGCAACGAAGTGAGGCACCGAGGAATCGCCAACACCGGACAGCTGAGAGCAAGAACCGAACAGACGTAAGCCAAGAGCCTGACGAGTACGAAACTTCTTCCTGCAGCGCAGAAGCAAAGAAAACACGATCCGCTCGACATCTTGCAATATTCATGTAATGATATGCAATGCACATCGGGATCATCGGGGTGTCTGTCAAACGGCCTAGTGGTGTCACTCGTGAAAAACATTGAAAAACTACCCACTGGGTCTAAAGCAGGCCAGGCCAGCAAATGGTTAAGAACCTCCCACCGGTCAGTCACAACCTCCACGGTGATCTTGCACTTCCTTTGCCAAATGTCTGGTGGCAAGGCTCTCAAACGTGATTCTATTTTGATGGGCAAAACATCGCCAAAAGCTGCACAAACCCTGAAAGACATTTGAATAGAACCCCCGCCTACTTGTATGGATTGGGGACTGCTGGGCTGGGAGCTCATCCAACAGATAGCAGGAACAAAACAATCCAACTCGTGGATTTCACCTCCCACCGTTACCAGGAGTTGCATACGGTTGGATTTTGAGTCCCCAAGTGAGTGGATGTGACAGGGGCACCCATACCCTCCAACCAACTCCCCTTTGGAACTGCTGGTAGTTGATTGATGCTCAATGGAGACCCCGTGAAACATCGTGCAGCCTGTAACTCTGAGAAAAAACTCTGAGAAAACTCGTCGCCAGCAGATGAGCTTCGTTCACAAAACTCGGACTCCCCCATGTTGCTGTGCCCAAGGGTCTGTCTTAGCATGAAGGTACACCCCAAATAGGTCTTGTAGTGAGAAAAAGTAGAGGAAACATCTTGGCGGTCCCCTCATATCAAGAGGATGCTGTTGGTCAAAATGAAAGGCCGGATTTGATCTTCCACCAGGTCTTTTTGCGACTACAGAATTCAGCATGGCAGCCATGGCACATCGTTCAGGCCTTTTTCCCACTCACATCAGCTGTGTTCCTCCACCCACATCAGCTGCGCTCCGCATCTCCCGCCCACTTTGTTCGCTCCTGGGGTACTGGTAGACTGCTGCACGCTGGAGCACATAGAGACGTCGATTGTCCAAGGTGAAGAGCCCCTGGAATCCGGTCGTGGAGGGCCCTCACCACACGCAGTAGGGTTTTTGTTGACGTTCTTTTTTGGGCGAACTCGCCCCCTCTGGTGAAGTGGGGGTGAAGTGGGGGTGAAGTGGGGCTTCCGAAAAGAAGCGTCGTTCTCAACGTGAAAACACATCCAACGTGCGTGGCTTTCGGCGTTCCACCGCCGGAACCGCCCAGCCACCGCCCGAACCAGCGGAGGGCGAACCTCCACCCCTCGGCGCTCTTCCCCGTTCTCATCCAAGACAGGCTTCCCTTCCCCATCCTCAACAGCAGCGAAAACATGCGAGGGAACGGAAGAGATGAGGTTAAAGCATGTCAAAACAACCAAAGAGAAGAATGAAAATTGGTGTTCCACTGGTCCACCCTGTCTCGTTTTGACACCAGGGAATTCTCGTGATCAAGGAATACCAGTTGTCAAGAACCATCGCATCATCACATGAAGAGTTCAGAGTTCACAGTTCACATGTCTCTCCTGGCTCCTCGGTTTCTCCCTTTTCTGTCCAACGACCCGAGGTGCTGGCACGAAGCTTGGGACACCAACGCACCGCCTGGCCACCCACGGTGCGAGACGCGCCGCACGGTTCGATTCGGGTCACTCCAGAGGTCCACAGGAAAAACCGATCCCAAAAACAGATCAACCAGCTGCTTCCGTTGTCACCTGGCTGGATATATCTCCGTCAACAGGTCTCCATTGACAGGGCACCCCGAAAGGAAGAAACAGATCAACGATGTCTGAAGCATGAAAACAGAAGGGAAATCGACCGAAAGAGAATCACCATGTCCCCACGAGCGGGATGTCCGAGTTCGCTCGATGCCGGCCTGAATTGGTGGGAAAGGCGCTTTGAGCCAATAGATCTCCTGAAAAGCACACGCTTTTGGCAGTAGGAAGTGCATCTATACCTTCTTCACTACTGTCACCCCTTTTTACATTTGTCATGACTGTCTAATCATCCATGGATTTAATTGTGAACTGGAAGATGGTCTTCACTTGAAAATCGATGCTTTTTCAGGTGTCCATTGGTTTCCAGTGCAGTCTGCATCTGAAAGTCGCCACTCCTCATCAAACGACTCCACTGCGGTCACTTCCCTCAGTCGCGAGTGAGAACTCTGCTTCCTCTGTTTACACCTTGAATCATATAGACTCTACATGATCCATCATGATCCTTGAATGCACCCTGCACCCAAGTCGGGACACCAACCTCGAATTCTTATGAATTTTTCATGTTCTTATTCGGTTGGGACCATTCTTGGGCTTGGGCGACCCCAGAAACCAGTTCTCCCTGCAAATCTTCACTCTCCCCCAACCATGTCTCCCAGGTTTTTCACACCCCCCATGTCTCACCCAAACTTACCGCCCAGCCATCGCTTTCTTCTTCCCTCCCAACCGCCTCACGGTCTCATCCACAGACGTGCCGTCGGAAAATAAGGGATAGATCACGTGCTGGGAAAAGTTCACCTCGCGACCCACGGCGAGGACGGAGGACGTTCCCCACCGACTCGGGTTTGGCGTTGAGACAACGGACGGAATTCCGGACCTCCAGCGGCGAGACCTCCACTTCCTGGGTCTTAGGACCTGAACGGCCAGCGCCCGGCGACGGGCGCGGGCGACCGCCGAAGCGCCGGTGCAGAAGAAGAGCGCCACAGCAGAGGAGGAGCGCAGACGTGCAGCAAGGACCCTTTTTGGGGGGGCTCCAGCAGTAGTAAGGTCGATGGCCATCTTGGCCATCTGAAAACACGCGTTTTTTGCGCATTGTGTTCTTTTCCCCACCCCGCACAGTTGTCGGGGCGGATGTCCAAAGTGAATCTGAAGAGCGTGGGATGTCCATTGAGATCCAAAAGCACCTACTCGTATAGGTCACAGCACCAGCCCAAAACTCACTGTCCTTGAACTGGAGTTCAACGGATCATTGCATTCATTGCTGAAATACTTGAAGAACCTGTGTCGACTAAGGTCGAAGAATGATCCTGTGTCGAACCTGTGTTGCATTCATTGCTTTTCGTGTCGACTGAGCATGCACATCATTTGACTAAGGATTTGGGATCACCGCGAACAGACGACGCCTTCGTTCCATCACTCAGGCGATGCTTCGCTCAGGCATCGTCCTCCTCGGCACGGCGGTCCTTGGGCGTCTTGGCTTCCTGGTCGGGGAAGCCAAAAGCGCTCCAAAAAGGAAGGCAGTCGTGGGTTCCTTGGGTGTTTAAAGATTTAAAGCATGTTTAATACTTCCTTCCTCACTGGCCTTCAGCTGATCTTTTCGTGTTCCTGGATTTCGCCTTCAGCTGATCTGATCAGAAATGGAATCCGATCTTCCCCAGTCCTTTGAGCCCAGATCGCGGGAGGTCACCGGCCGACTCTTAGCAGAGCTCTTCTTGGCCTGTCGGGGTCGAGAGAGACCCAACGAGATCCGTCTCGCCTCTTTAGAGAGAGACGTGCCAAGTGCTCCAGTACAATCACCCTACTAACAAAAGAACCATATGTTTAACACCTGTTTCTGTGGCTTTCAAAAGAAGAGTGGCTTTCAAAGCACCAAAAGAAATGGAGACCAAAGATGTTGTGTTAGTTCGATGTGCAACGGGAGTGGCTGTTTGCTTCGTCTTCTTCCTCTTGGCGTCCTCGAACCGCGCCTCGTCCGCCTCACGCCGGGAGCCCTTCCGCACGGTGCGGCTCGTCTTGCCACGGTCCTTGGAATCCTTGGAATCCTTCTCCTTCCGTCTGTCCTTCTCCTCGTCCACTTCCTGCCCCCCGATTTCCAACGAACAACGAGCATGTCGAATCCTTTAGCCTTATGCTCTTCAATTCTGCATGTCGGAATGCACATGATGCTAGTCTATTAGCATAAAAACGTTGACAACCTACAAGCATCAGAAGCTTTGATGTGGAAGGTAGATGGTAGCGATTTGAGATACAGCCCACTGAAAATCTATGGCCTGATGCTGGTTTTCTTGGTTGCCCCACAAATGACAAAAAGCTTTGCCCTCGTGGACATGGAGATTCACGTCCACCCTTATGGTGCCTAGATGCTTTACACACTGCCTGCAAAACGAATTGAGAGCCGACTAAACCTTCCGCTCTGCCTGAACAAACCCATCGTCCGGAACCCCTGCGTCAGTAGAAATCATGAAAATGTTTGGGCATCCGCGAAATTCATCCTTCATCTTCACCAAATCCTCCCAAAACATCACCACCCCCCTAACAACGCCCACCATACCCCCCCCCAAAAAAGCACCCACCCTCCGGTCCTCTTCTTTCGCTTTACCCGTCTTCTTCTTCCGGCTGGGCGGCTTCTCCTTCTGCTTCCCCGCCTTCCGCGCCTGCCGCGTCTTCCGCCGCAGCGCCGCCGCGCCGTCGTCCTCAGAGTCGGAGACGTCGTCGGAGTTGCCGTCGTCCGGGAAGAGCACCTGAGCGTCGCTCGTGGAGGCACCGATGGACGGGTGGACGGACACGAGGCTGGACGGGTGGACGGGTGGATGGGTGGAAGGGCGGGCGAACACCGGGCGAATTCACCCGGGGAGACGTCGTTCTCGTCTTTGGGACGGGGGATTGGTTCCAGAGGAGTTGGGGACCCTGGAGGGCATGGCAAGCGGTAGCAAAAGCATCAACATGCATCACCTGAAACGAAACCACGTTGAAATCAAGCAAATAAACCAAAAAATTATCTTCTATGGCTATGGCCGATATGGCCGGCTGCAAATAAAAAGGGGTGCTACTATGGGTACCTTGGATGATCCATGAAGATCCTGTGTGCCGAGAGGGACGTAACTGAGGGACCACACCTGCGCCGATCGCGTGAGAGATAGAATGGAGTTTGGACGAGCAGGGAGGATGCTTGACCTCCAGGCTCTTGGAGGTCGAAGAGTGGTGGATCCCCCCCCCAAAAAAAAAGCCTGCACCTGCAACTCCTTACTCACCAGCATGACCTTCGACTGGTCCGGATCGCAGAAATCCAGGATCGCATCGCAGACCATGTAGCCCATCTCCTCCAAGTGCCTTGTGGTGAAATGCTGTTCACCCAGCGGGCCAAAGTCGGCACCACAAAACGAGGCTTCCAGCGTATAGGAATTCACCACCCCAAGCTCCCTATAGGCCACGACGCGCGCAGTGGATTCTTTACTCTTCTGAATCTTGAAGCAGCAATCGTCGAAGCTAAAGCAATCGGAGGAGCGGCAGAGAAGACCGGGAAAGATCTTTTGCTTTAAGCCGTTGTTCTCACTGTTTCCATACATGAAGACGTTCTTCTTCCGACTGTGTCCATGAATGTCCACAAAGAGAATCACCTCTCGATCATCCAGCAAATGTCGAAACATGCTTTTGGTGAAGAAGATCGTTGGGTGCATCTTTCGACTAGGCTCGTCCCAGAGGCGATTCAAGTCTTGCCCCGCCAGCGAGCATCGGTAGTTGCCCACGATCACGCCGTCGGGGTTCAGCATGGGCACGATCTTAAACACAAAGTTGTCACGCAGGATTCGGGCGTCCACCGAGGACCCCGTCAGGTAGTCCAGGATTCCCTTCATCACCCAGGAGGCATTCGACTCTCCGGGGTGGACGCGAGCGGTGATCACCACGGCACGACGAGCCTTCAGTTGTGCTGGATCACTGCAAAAGGAGGTGATGGTGATGAGATCGCAGGCATTCCCCGCCAGCGTGTCGCAGAGCTTGCGGCGCCGCAAGCGGCGCACCATGTGGGGATCCCTCTCCAAGGCTTTGAGATCCACTTGTAAGTCGGAAAAGGTGTAAGGATAGCAATGTGAAAAGTAAACCTCATCGCAATCGTGATCGAAGGTCACTGTGAAGGTCAGGGTGTAGTAATTCGAACCCTTTTGCTTTCGAAGTCCATTCTGATAATATGCAATTCGGTCGCCACACCTGACCCAGCCAATTCCCTTGGACGCAGCTTGAATGCAGGAATACTGAAGCGGCCGCATGCCCTCATTGTAAACAGACGTTGGCTTCACCATGTTAATAATGTTGAAGCGATACTGAGGACCTTTGCGGGTGTTTCCCACGCGGAAGAAATACCACTGAGTATGCGATTTGGTGTTGTAGTCGGGGTTCAGGATCAAGTCATACCTTAGAAAGGGGTCCATCATGGTCCATCTCAAAATGACAGGACCGCCAAACAAATGAGTTACAGCTGAGAGAGCGCCAAAACCGTGGGCGCAAAATTTGTTCCATCATGTTTTATCCTGTTTTCGATATTCAAGTACGAGTATCGCGTTTGGTTGTTCGCTGTATCGCTTTACGTGGCTTTACACTGCTTCGTTACCACAGTAACTCTGGGACAGCATGGTCCAAACGGTGGACTACCCTGGACCTGGACCATTTTCCACGCTTTTCCACGTCCATGTTAGTGGTCAGAGTGAGTATTTGGAACCAGTGTGAGGGTCCGGTACCTATGGTGTGAAATGTCAGGGAAGCCTGGTAGTGTGGTGATCAAAAGTGAACTATCTCGAGCCGTGACAAGGTGAACGTGGAGGTAACGACACACTAGGAACGCATGATTGTAACAAACCCCGATGGGTCCACATACCTTCTCAGAAGGTAGTTGGACCCTCCAAGCCTACATAAATTGTCTCCAATCACTGTACCTCAGAAGGTATGTGGATCCAAAGGGAGACCGTACTTTCCAACCAAAGAGCTATGTTGATGTTTTCCTGACATGCCCCTACGGGATTCCGACGGAGATCAACACAAATTCATGGGCTCCGGTATATATGTACTAAACTTCACCGGTAGACTTCCAATGCATTCCAACCTTTTTCACGATATATGTTTACTTCGGGCGAAGAACAGTGAAAAATCATCACAAACAAAGGTTTTCACATACAAAAACTCGTTTTTTAATTGTTTGTGGGGCCCCAAAGTACCATCCCATTGGTGGGCCTTCCAAGAAACCCGATTCCACATATTTGCGATCGCACGGTACGTGACGTGCATCGCCCGGCGGCGACCCGCGTCCCTTTCCTACGCCCTCGGCACGGCTGGGTCGCAAGCCGGCTGACATTCGTGAGTGTGGCGCTCATGAGTTGAAACGTTGGGAGGAGGACTGGCACAGGTTCCCGCCGTACCAGTACCATGTATATATATATATGTGTGTGTGTCTATATATGCTAGCCCCCCCACTTTTAGTTCTAATTTAGTTTTATTTTACCTCAAACTTAGTTTTGTTTATGCTTCATGTTTTGTAATTAGTTTGTAGTTTTCAGCTAGTTTAAACCTTGTGCATTTCAGTTTCAGTTGTTTTACAATTTCTAGTTCAATTCTGTTTTGATTCCCAAATTAATGTTGACTAATTCCAAAGTAATTTCAATTCGATTCTAGTTCACTGCAAATTTTAGTTTCAGCTAGTTGAAATCTTACGCAATTCAAGTTCAATTGTTTTACAATTCTTGTTTAATTCCATTTTGATTCCTAATTTGATTTTTGATGGGTTCTAAATCATTTTTCATTCGGTTCTAGCTCAATGCATTCAATGCAAGTTGAATTCTCATTGAATTATGACCTTATTCTAGAGAGGGTTTTGCTGGGGGTGTGATTTTAAGAAAACACCTTTAAGAAAGCAACACGTAAACTAT